TAGGCTACAGCCCCTGCTGCAGTGGGTTGCCACGGGCTGCCGTGTGTAGCCAGCAGCCAGCGTGAGCGGCCAGCAGCAGCCGCCGTGAGCGGCCATCCAGAAGCCGGCGACTGATCTGCCTCGCCCGGGAAGAGCGCAATGATGGTGCCGACGTGGGCCAGTGAAGCAACGTCCTCCACAGCTAGACTGAAGAATAATAGGACAGCAACTTGTCTGTTCCTCTTCCCCCAATTCCCCAGCGCTGTTCCCATCCCCCAATACCCCAATAAAAATCTTTTTAAAAAATGAGCAATAAAGGGGCTAATTTAGAAAAACAGAGGAAATAGAGCTTATGCTGGTAGTCAGAATGGGAATGACAGCGTGTGTATGAGTATCTGTCTACATTTTGAATTAGGAAGATGAAGGCATGAAGTAGGACATGTGTGAGGCCATGGGCTTGACTATGAAAAGAGTGTCCTGAAGTCAGGCAAATGAAAGCCACCATTAGACAGTCTTTGCAGGGAAGTAGTGGAGTGGAAACATGGATAGATGGAACATTCATGGAGATGTACACTTTTATTGCTAGGATGATTGATTGGATTTCATGTGAGTAATTGAGGTAACATGGTGGAGGGTTGGTTGGTTTTGTATTTTTGTAACTCTAGGTTGTCTTACCTTTTACCTGGGTTGCAGTAGTATAGCAATAATAAGGAACAGCCAGATGTTCTAAGAAAAACTGAAGATAAAGCTGACACAACCTAGGTCTTAAAGGAGGAAGTTGGTTCTTCAGTACAACCTAACTGTTGCCAACTGAGACATAAATGTAGAATTACTGAAGTAGATGCTGCTGGTGGCAAATGAGGGAACAATATATCAGGGTTGTTGAAGTGAGGAAATTTTGGACATGACTTCTGTATTGAATGCAGAATGTGATTGGAAAAGGTGACAGTCGCCATATCCCATGCAGCACATTAGCTTCTGAAGATGACTGCGAGGTACACTGGCCAGCTGCAAAAATTTCCTGTCAATGATTGTTGCCCTATTTTATTATGAATGGAACATATGACAACATGACACAGCCAGACAAAAGGCTGGAGTGTTGATTATATGAGTTGTCCTCTCAATATGATTGATGTTTCTGGAAAGCTAGCTTGATGGTGGTCTTCAGAAAGGCAAATTTAGAAACAGAATTATGATACAAGAGTCTGTCTCAGCTCACTTCAATTCAAATTCTGAAGACCTTACATTCTTACTTGCTAGGTAACATGTTTATTCTGTACACCCCAGTATGAATATTTCCCTGATCTCTGTAGTCACAGTTTGGTTTCATTTAGAGAATCCCCAAACTCTAAATGTTAGCATGTCTAAAACCTTGGTTTTTACCTTCATCATCTTTCATTCTATGTGTCCTCCCAACATATTGCCCAGTGCTCTTTTCTTGAATAATAGGTGTATATTGCTTATTTCCACACGTATACTTCCAAGCTGACCTTGATGTCTGTACTACATATCTAATAATCATCTCATAATTTATGTTTCACAATGGATACTTTTTTCCTACATGTTCTATATTTATTTCAGTAATATTCCTCTTCTTGATTTGAGATGCTTCTGCCTACCCAGTGGCTCACGTCATCTGGATGGTTAGCAAAATAATCCTGGATTCCTCACTTCAATTAACCACTCTCCCCATCATACCTTGTCTTTTCTTTTTGCAAATATATCCTGATTTCCTGCACTTCCCACCATCTCCATTGCTCCTCAATCCACGTTTAACAATCTCCAACTCCCTTCTTTTTTTTCTCCTTTATTCAGTTTTCCCTAGCTAGATTTAAGATCAGTGAAAGTAAGTCATATTTAAATATTCCAAACACCAGCATAGTACCTGGTACACAGGAGCCATTCAATACATAGTTTTGGAGTGTACAAATGGAACTCTCTTTATTTTGGATTAGTTGTCTCTTCCACCTCTGTGATCTGGGTCTTTCCAAGTTCTATGGAATGATATTCCTCCAAACCATGTAATTTGCTGCTAACAATGACTTGCTTGTATTTTTCCATCTCTGCATGTTTTGCACGTTCTTATGTAGAAAGCAGCCAAATCTACATAAATTGTCAATTATGTAACCTTATTGGTACACTAACTGCTGTTTCATTTTGGTTTGTTTATATTATTGTGTTTTTACCAATGTGTAAGAAATAAGGAACATTTATACATGATGTTTCTTTTACAGAATTATCACAGGGTTGTTGCTGAAGTGCCTTTTTTTTTTTTAAACACCAAGGAATTATTTAAACAGTTTCTTTCTAAACAAGATTATAAAAAGATTAATTGTTCTCTTCTTCCCTAGAAATTGGCAAAGTTGATGATCATCTCCAGGGTCACTGGGAAAATCAAATAATGCTGAGAGGTATGAAACAAAGCCACAAACACAATGTACTTGGAAATAATGTTCAAAGCCAAAGTCATTTTCCTTTCATGCAAAATCATGATATGTTTGAGTTCTACATGAAAACTCTGAAGTCAAGTTTAAGTTCAGTCAACCAGAGCAAAAGCTATGAAATTAAGAAGCCTATTAAATTGAATGGAGATGGAAAATCATTTCTGCATGGTAAGCATGAAGATTTTCATCCTGCAATTAAAGTCCTTGTAAGTGCAAAACCCATTAGCAGTAAGTCCCAGATCATTAAGTATAAAAGTACTCATGAAGTCAAGAAAGCTCATGTGTGCCATGAATGTGGGAAAGCCTTTATTAAGAAATCTCAGCTCACTGATCATGAGAGAGTTCACACAGGAGAGAAACCTTATGGATGCAATCTGTGTGCGAAAGTATTCTCCAGAAAGTCCAGGCTCAATGAACATCAGAGAATTCATAAAAGAGAGAAATCCTTTATATGCAATGATTGTGGCAAAGTCTTCACCATGAAGAGCCGTCTCATTGAGCATGAGCGAACTCACACTGGAGAGAAACCCTATGTATGCAGTGAATGTGGAAAAGGTTTCCCCGGGAAGCGTAATCTCATTGTACATCAGCGAAATCATACTGGAGAGAAATGCTATGTCTGTAGTGAATGTGGGAAAGGCTTCACTGGGAAGAGCATGCTAATAATACATCAGCGAACTCATACAGGAGAGAAACCCTACACCTGCAGTGAGTGTGGGAAAGGCTTCACCACGAAGCACTACATCCTTATACACCAACGAAATCATACAGGAGAGAAACCATATGTATGCAATGAATGTGGGAAAGGTTTCACTATGAAGAGCCGTCTGATTGAACATCAGCGAACTCACACTGGAGAGAAACCCTATGTGTGCAATGAATGTGGAAAAGGTTTTCCCAGGAAGAGTAACCTTATTGTGCACCAGAGAAATCATACAGTAGAGAAATCCTATGTATGTGGTGACTGTGGGAAAGGCTTCACCGTGAACAGCATGCTCATCATACATCAGCGAACACATACTGGAGAGAAACCCTACACCTGCAGTGAGTGTGGGAAAGGCTTCCCCTTGAAGAGTCGGCTGGTTGTACATAAGCGAACTCATACGGGAGAGAAACCTTACAGATGTAGTGAGTGTGGGAAGGGCTTCATTGTGAATAGTGGACTGATGTTACACCAGCGAACTCATACTGGAGAGAAACCCTATGTATGCAATAAATGCGGAAAAGGTTTTGCCTTTAAGAGCAATCTTGTAGTACATCAGCGAACCCATACTGGAGAGAAACCCTTTACATGCAATGATTGTGGAAAAGGCTTCACCATGAAACGTTATCTTATTGTACATCAGCAAGTTCACACAGGAGAGAAATCCTATATATGCAGTGAATGTGGAAAAGGCTTCGTTATAGAAACTGAGCTCATTTTACACCAGCAAACCCATACTGGAGAGAAACCTTATGCATGCAATGAATGTGGAAAAGGCTTTGCTGTGAAAAGCCGTCTAATTGTCCATCAGCGAACTCATACAGGAGAGAAACCTTTTGTATGCAGTGAATGTGGAAAAGCCTTCTCCTCAAAGAGAAATCTCCTTCTACATCAGAAAACTCATAATGGGAACAAACCCCAATAACACAATGAGTATGGTCACACCTTCAGGAAGAAAATATGCCTTGTAAAACATCAGAGACTTCATACAGGATAGACTTATATGTACTGACTGGAAAATCCTATTCATATAGTATTGGAGTATTGGTCTCATGATGCATCAGGGGATTTACACAGGAGACAAACCATATGTATGCAGTTAGTGTGAGAGAATTCAGCACCCACTGTACATCAGAGAACTCATAAAGGAGGGAGGCCCTCTGGATTCAAGAATTGGTGGTAACGTTTCTCTCACTTGTCAAGCCTTGTTAATACACATGACAAATGAAAATATGTTTTGAGCATCTATCCTCAAGTGAACTCGAGCAGGGGACAAACCATGATAGTTTGGTGAACTTGTTAAACACCAGTGTGCTCCTGACATACTGGAACATATTCAGTGTAGAGTAGCCTGTTGCTAGATTTTCACCTTTGGGAAATTATATTTGCATAGGAATGAAATTTAATGAATGCAGAAAATGTGCCAGTGCCTTCAGTGATCAATTACCTCACTTTGTATGTCAAAATTAACATGTAGGAGAAATATTCTGATATATTCAAGCAGAAAAGTCTTAAGGAAACATTTCTAGGTATATGTCTGAAAAGTATGTACTAAGATAAATCTTATGAATGGAGAGATTAGGAAAGCCTTCTATGGAGTTAAAGACTATCTCATTAGTGATAAGAGATCATCAGTGAGCTCATACTTAATAGCAATAGGATGATTGTGGGAAAGCCATTGCCTAGAAATAAAATCTCAATAGTTGCCCAATATTCATGCTGAAGAAAAAATTTCAATTGGCAGAATTCATCATTTCCCATGAATTCACACAGAAATAAAACTGTTAGGAACACACTAAATGTAGAGTAACTTTAGCAGAATATCAGAGAATTCATGGAGAGAAACCTCATGAAAATAATGTACCCTTGAGTTTTCTATCATAAGTCTAAACTTATTTACCTGGCATCCATTCTGGGACAGGATACTTGAACCATATTCTCAATGATTCCATAATGTTAGGCAAATTCTTAACACTGATTAAATTGTAACATTATGTACAAGCAGGAGTGTTCTGAGCCCACCCTGTATCATTATATGACTAGCTCTTGCATTTCTTAGGCTCTAAATTCATATTTTTCAGTCTATTGTGTACTTCAAAAGTAAAAGGAATATCTTCATAAATGTAATTCACCATATTTGGTTGTATTTATCCAAGTTTATAAACAGCATTAAGTAATTTACAAAAATTCCTTAAATATGATTTTTCTAAAATTTGGTTTGAAATATTTTAGACTTACAAGAAATTACAAAATATGCAAAGTTCCTGAGTACTTTTATTTAACTTCTTAGTGATTATCTTACATAACCATCATACATCATAAAAAACAATAAAACGACATTGGTACAGTGCTGTTAGGTAAACTATATACCTTATTTGGATTTCACTAGTTTTTTGTGCTTTCATTTGTGAGAGGTTTTTTGTTTTGTTTTTTCATGTGGAGTTCTAAGACATTTTATCATATATACAGATTTCTGTAAATTCTACCACAGTCAGGATGTAGAGTTGTTGTGCCAACTCAAAGACATGTCTTCCTGCTACCCCTGTATAGCCTCACTGTCTCCCCAGCCCTCACCCATGGTGACCAATGAGAGGAGTCCATCACTCTAATTTTGTCATTTCAAGAAAACTATTAAAATTGAATCATACAGTATGTAACCTTTGAGATAGGCATTTTTCCCTATTCAGCAAATTCCCTTAAGATCCATCCAATTTGTTGAGAGTGTAAATAGTTTTACTTTTTGTTACTGAGTAGTATTTTTTTGTATTGATGTACTATGGTTTGTTTGTCTGTTCACTGTTGATAGATGTTTGGGTTGTTGCCAGTGTTTCATTGTTATGAATAAAGATGCTATAAACATTTGTATAGCCAATTTTATGTGAACATGAGTTTTCATTTCTCTGGGATAAACACCCATGAGTCATATGCTAAGTTTGTGTTTAATTTTCTAAGAAACTGCCAAACTTTTCCAGAATGGCTGTACCAATTTACATTCCCACCAGCAGTGTATGAATGTCCAGTTGTTCTGTGACCTTTCCAGCACTTGGCATTGTCATATTTGATTCTAGCTGTCCTATCAAGTGTGTGGTTGTATATAATGATGGTCTTCTATTTCCCTAACAGTGAATGATGCCCAACATCTCCACAATATATTGAGAATCTTATCAGGTAAGGTCATTTTTGCTTTCAACCATCAAACATAATTTTAAAAATTCAAAAGGAGAACAGCCTATTATATTTGATTATATATTTACCCTTTCCATTCCTTTTTCTTCATTCCTGATGTTATACATGTTTCCTTCTCTTATTCCTTTTCGTCAGTACTTCTGCTACCAGTTCTGTTTGAATAGGTCTGCTGACAACAAATTCTGTTTTTCTAGTAGTAAGCCTCTTGTTCTCTCATGTGTAGCCTGAGTTATTTCCCTTCATATAAAAAGGATATTCAATCCAGTTTACAAGTGGTAAGTCCTGCTTATAGCAAAATAAATAGACACTTGCCATACAGTATCATGGCAGGATTTGATCTCCAGCTCCGTATTAATTCCCCCCTTTAAGATTTTTTTGAGCATCTATCTACACTGTGCTGGCCACTGTTGTAGACACTACAGACACATCAATGAACAAAATAGACAAAGTCATGGCCTTATGGAGCATACAGTGTAGTGAAGGAGAATGAGTCAAATAAACATTGGGTTGTTGGACAAGTCATGACGTATTTTTTCCATGTTTTTCATTGCAAAAATGCGTCATGACTTTTCCAACAACCCAATACATAGAATGTCAACTCTGGTAAGTACTATGAAGAAATATGAAACCTAGCAAAAAATTGTAATGGAGGAGCTATTGTAGTAAGGGTTTCAAGGAAGGCTTTTCTGGACAGATGTAATTTGAACTATGACCTAAGTGTACTGAGAAAGCCAGCCCACATAATATTTGTAAGCCAAAAACACTCAAGGACTGTTTCTAAGTGTTTTCTCTGGGCTTCCTGCCTCAAGATTCTCTGAGAAGTTGTACAAGATGTAAATTCTTGAGTCACACCCAACACTTCCGAAACCAGAATCTCTGGGACTGGGGTCCAGGGCTCTGGGTTTGTAGTATGAGCTTTCCAGTCTATATTAAAATTTGAACATCTCTGCCCTAAATCCTGGATTAGAAGCTGAAGGGTGGGAAGAGGTCAAAGGTAGAGATGTGGAAATGAGAATCAGTAACATAGAATAATGGGTTGTTGACGTAAGAAACATCCAAACCTGTAGAGAAATTTTGTGAGTTTATTTGAGTAAAATTGATGACATATACCAAGGAGGAAGATCTCAAATGCTCCCAAGAGGGTTGTGGCTTTGAGCCATGTAATATCAGTCTGATTTCCGAAGTGGGAGGACCTGGAGATTGAGTCCTGGTCAATGATTCAATAAATCCTGCATATATAATGAAGCCTCAATAAAAACTCTGGACACTGGGGCTGGCCGAGTGGTGCATTGGTTAAGAGCTGGCTTGGGATGCCAGTGTTGCATTATAGCCGATTCCAATACCCCCCCCCGCATTAGCCTCTAACCCTATTAGTTAGGAGAGAGTGTCTCGGCGGAGGCCGGTAAAGCTCCCTCTGGGGAGTGTCTCAGGTGACTGGGACCTATTGGAATGATAATAGTTATCTCCCCTGGGAGGACACAGTAACAAGTGTTCTGGGGCTATGTGGCCGGAAGTGTGAAGGCACAGCATTTGCTGGAACACAATGGGATATGTTAATGGAAAGAGGCCTTAAGGCACACAAATCACACACGGTTGCTAATTGATTGACAGCAGTTTTACTTCTTTGAAAATTCTCAATAAAAGCCATGCGCTGACCTGATTCGGGGCTCAGTCTTCTCTGGCTGAGTCCCTTGGTCTCGCTCAAATCTAACTTTTGTCTCTTGACTTTATTCAATCTGCGTCGCCCCTTTCGAGACCCATTTGCCCTTGCCACGCTGGACGTGACACCAGAGGGCCCTGGTTCAGATCCCACATATGAGGGCCAGTGACACTGCACTCTACAGCTAAGATGCTGAACAACAGCTCAACCTGGAGATGGGCTGCCCTGAATTGCCTGTGATTGCATAGGCTATAGCCCCTGCTGCAGTGGGTTGCCATGGGCTACTGTGTGTAGCCAGCAGCCGCAGTGAGCAGCTGTCCAGAAGCCGGCGACTGATCTGCTTTGCCCGGGAAGAGCGCAATGATGGTGCCAACTTGGGCCAGTGAAGCAACGTCCTCCACAACTAGACTGAAGAACAAAAGGACAGCAACTTGTCCGTTCCCCTTCCCCCAATTCCCCAGCGCTGTTCCCATCTCCCAATTCCCCCAATAAAAATCTTTTAAAAAAAACAACTCTGGACACTGAAGTTTAGATGAGCTTTCTTGGTTGGTAATATTCTTCAGTAGTGTCACACATTATGGCTGGGAGGAGATTCTGGACAGTATTCTACAGCAACGAGTCAGACACGAGTGCTTTACCACCCAGGCCTATGAACCTACACATGCTGCATGGCAATGTCAGATCAGGTCATTCCTGAAACAGATCCATCAGGATCCTAGGATGGGCTGCCCAGGCTGCCCTGAGCTCTCTGGACCAGATGCTGAACTCACTTTTCAGAGCTTGACATCACATGTGAATAGGGATGAAATTTAATCCCTGAAAGGAATATAATGCTCTTACTATTAATAAATTCTTAATGCGTAGAAATTAGAAAACATATAAGCAAATGAAGAAATTTTAAATCACCCATAATTATACCTAAGAGCCAAGCATTGTTCAAACTATATTCTGCATTACTTGCTCTCCGGCTGTCTTGGTGGCTACTTGTCACGTCCTGCATGGCCAGGACAGTGGGAAACGAGAGGGGCGATGCAGAGTTAAAGAGCCCAAGAGACAGAGATGAGGCTAAAGCGGGACCAGGGGGCATCAGCCTCGTGGACTGAGCCTCGAATCGGGTCATCACATGGCTTTTATTGAGAAAATTTCAAGGAAGTGAAACGGGATTACTCAAAGATCCGTGTGTCATGTGCCTTAAGGCTGTTTTCCATCAACCAGCTCCCATTGTATTCCAACATGTACGATGCCTTCATACATCCTGCACAACCCCCAGGACAGCGTTACTGTACCGCATCCTATATAATTAAGGGAGATGACCGATATCATTCCACCGGGTGTCAGCATTTCAAGACACTCCCTAAAGCAGTGGTTCTCAACCTGTGGGTCGCGACCCCTTTGGGGGTCAAACAACCCTTTCACAGGGGTCACCAGGTACTCGTATGTGGGTATATCTGCATGTGGGCCTGGAGACGGATAGAGGAGTGGTGTCTCGGTTCCTAAGACCATCGAAAATATGTGTTTTCCGATGGTCTTAGGCGACCCCTGTGAAAGGTTGAGAACCGCTGCCCTAGAGGAAGCTTTACCGATATCATTCCATCAGGCCTCAGCATTCCGAGGCACTTCCTCAGGACCTCGTTAAGTCGGGTTAGTGCGGGGGGTGGCCGTGGACATTGCTATAAGGCAACAGCTACTCTTGGTTGGGGGGCTTTCTGCACCTAAGACAGGAAGATGGTGGCTGCAAAGAAGAAAACGTTACTGGAGTTGACAAAAGTCTAGGCTCCAACTTGTTATGAAAAGTGGAAAGTATGTGCTGGGGTACAAGCAGACTCTGAAAATGATCAGACAAGGCAAAGCAAAACTGGTCATCTGCCGTGTCCAGCGTGGCTAGTCGAATGGGCCAGAGCGGGGGCGAGGAGGATTAAGAAGGACAGACAAAGAAATACTTGAAAGCAGGGGCTAGGTGGACACCTGTCTCCTGATGGGAGAACAGTGACCCAATCTAGCAGCCGTGCTTTACTTATATAGTCTTGCTTATGCGTGGGCAGGAAAGGGGAGGAGATAGTCTTGGGCAGGGAACTTTTCATTAGTCAGTTGCAGATTGTTAGCAACCAATGCATCGGACTCAAGATGTTTAGTACCTAACGTATTGAAACCACCTACGGGTGCCGGAAACCTCTGTATGCTGAGGTGCTGCTCTAACCTTGCTAAGGATGCAGCCAGAGAGTGTGCCTTGCACCAGCCTCTCCTTTACAGCTCCAGATGGGTCTCTCAGTCCCCAGCAGTCCTTGGCAACAACTGCCCAGTCTTAAGGAAATCTGAAATAGAGTACTACGCCATGTTGGCCAAGACTGGTGTCCATCACTACAGTGGCAATAATATTGAATTGGGCACAATGTGTGGAAAATACTATCAAATATGTACACTGGCTATCATTGATCCAAGTGATTCTGATATCATTAGAAGCATGCCAGAACAGACTGGTAAAAATTAAATCATGCAAAATTTTTCTTTAATATAAGTGACCAGAGCTTATTTAAAAATTATTTTTTATGTGTAAGTATATATTTATTAAAGAAAAATGAGACTAGTCTGTTCATATTGACTATATTATGAACATCTACATAAAATATAAAACTTGTAAAATCGACTTTTGAAAATACTAAAGTGTTGCCTTAACAGCTACAGCCACGACCGCCCCCGCTGCATTAGCCCCTGACCCAGTCAGTCATGAGAGTAGGTCTCAGCATTCCTGGGGCCTGATGTCTCTCAGGGAGTGTCCCGGCAGTCCTGGGACCCAATGTATATCGGTCTACTCCCCTGAAGGGGTAGGACACAGTAACAACAAAGTGTCCTGGGGCTGTGTAGTGATGTATGAAGGCATAGCATTTGTTGGAATACAACGGGCGCAGGTTAATGGCAAACAGCCTTAAGGCACATAGCAACGGATCTTTGAAAAATGACAGTTTCACTTCCTTGTAGGATCTCAATAAAGATGACAGTTTCACTTCCTTGTAGGATTTCAATAAAAG